CTGACCAAGTGACAGCCATATCAGGCACATAGGCCTCCGAGAGAAAGTCGTCGCTCTAATGGCGAATTCGATTAAGTTTTTAGAGCGACTTGCTTGGCCGATGAGCGGCGCGCGGGTTATCCTCCTCTGCTTGTTTGACGCGCGGCAGCTAGCCCCTCAAACCCGCAGCAGACGACGCAGACGACGAGGATGAGTTGATCTGCCGGCTGTCAAGTGTCAACGGAAGCGGGCGGATCTAGAAAGACGTCGCAGTTTATTTTTGCTCTAGAAACGGACGCTAGGAGGGACGAAAGGGAAAAGGAAAAGAAACATTTCCGCCTCGTGTACTTCTTCGGTCGCATACCGCGTCGCGCGAAAACGCTCACCTCTCGCTTGTGCGGGGACATCACAATCCGCACGGGAGAAAGTATTTAGCTCGATACTCTGGATGAACGGGACTTGAGGGCGGCTCGCTGGTGCACCCCCCCCCCCCTCTGCCTCTTTGCCGCACGTGTAGCAGTACTCTATGGCATTGAACAAAGATGAGCAAGCTACCGAGCGGCGGGGCGGGGCATGGCGCGGCCGGTTGTAACCTCATTCGAAACGCATGCGGCGGACGCATAGCTGTGGTGGAGCTGGCGGGGCCGTGGCTCGCTACATGGGTCTACCAGTAAGGGGGGGGGGGGGCTTTTGCAAGCGACCCCTGCGAGGATTTCCCCGCAAGCCTCCCCGAAATATGGCCACGGCCACCTCCACACTCCACAGGCCCGCATCACCGTTGCCTGCTGCCCTCGCGTCCGCACCCAAGTCCACTAACGCGCCCGCGAACTCCCGCGCCCCGCACCCTCGCGGCTGTTCGCGGAAAGGGACGCGGGCAGAAGGCGAGGGGCAGAAGGGGCTGACTTAATAAGGGAGCGGTGCTTCATGCTCCGGGGGCCGCGCGGTGCAGCCGCGGTGCAGCCGCGGTGCAGCCCCCCTCCCCTCCACGCGCGCACAGATGCGCGCTCGCCGCTGTTATAAAAAATAAATTTGTGTCGCGACGGAGGGGAGAGCGGCCGGCTAAGTCCCCTCCGGCCCCCTTGAGCGGTCAGCACACGGTTAGTGCCCTTTCGCTGTCAGATGACGATCGCGTGCTTTTGAACCGGACGGACATGACGGGGTGCTATAACGTGGCTTTAACGAGACGCGACGAGCATTTCGACGTTTTCGTCTCATCTGCTGTGGACGCTCAGAGTACGGGACCTGCGCGTTATTTCACCCTTTTAATACGACACGCTCTTAACGCTGGCTGACTCAGAGAGAGGAAACGAATCCCAATCGGAAGATGTCATTGCAGAGAGATAGGCAGAGGGAAGCTTGTCCTCCTTAGACCCAACTCACTCACGGTCGCTCATAACCATTTTCACCCAGAAAAGTGAAAAGTTGTAGTAGCCAGCGCATGGTTGGCATGGTTACTGCAAGGACAACCATAAAATATGGTTGAGACAACAACAGCACAGGTGTATCGTATCAACCAAGAAAACGGTTTTCACCACTTAGGGATTATTGTTTCAACCATATTTTGTGGTCACCCTAAAAAACAAAAAAAAAAACAAAAAAACAAACAAAAAAACAACAACAACAACAACACAATATGAGGTGGTTCCTACAACTTTTCATTTTTCGATGTTCGCATCACGCAGTATTAAACGTAACACTCGAATCTGGGGTATTTTAAAGCACGGCTCTCAAGACTGTGTGCCTGCTTATTTCCATCCTGATAGAAAACTATTAGTATAACTAAATAACTACTCACTTTATCACATTTTTTTCCACAGTGAGGCGTGCTCAGGCCCGCTGTGGCTCCGCTGCCATGGCAACCGGTCGGCCTCTGCACCTCGACCGCCCAGCTAGCATGGTGCAGTCATTATCTATTCGGAAACTATCGAGTCCAGTTAGTCTGTGTGCAGCGCTGGCGGCCGCTGGTGGCTCGGCGGGCCCTGGCTGGCTCGGAACGCTTTGCCCTGCCACGCCCAGCTCAGATAAAAGCCACCCGATAACTTTGACACCTGCTTTGCTGCTTTGCCTGGTCGACACCGGTTGCCTGCTGCTGCGGTTTTTGGATTTTGAAAATATTGTCTAGCCCTTTTTACCCTTTCCGCCTCTATGCGAAGAGTTATTCTTCTAACTGTTATATCCATAAGACAGTTGTCACTTTCACTGCCGAAAACAATGCCCACTACTGGAGCACATACTGTAAAAATTCTCTATATTTCCTTTTGTTGACTTCTGTGCGTGATATTTTATAAGAATCTACTGCCATCTTCTACGGGGGAAATCAGTTAGTCAGTCATTTCCACTAACTTCTCTCTTTCCCTTGGCCGAACAGGTAACGAGCTAGTTTTTTTTCTTAAATAAAAAATGTAGAACTGGGCATAGCCAACGAGGAAATGACCCCAAAACCACTGTTGGCCAGTCAATCTTTCTCCCAGCCATGGGGAGCCGGCGCTGCGTTTTCTCACGTTAGAGTGCCGCGGAACTATTCTAATGATGCTCATCAATGCTGGGCGCGGCGCGGCGCGGGCCGACTTGCCTTATGCGTTGACGTGAAATTTGAGAGGGGAAGGGGAAGAAGGAGGAGAAGGAGGCGGAGGAGGTGAAGCTGCAGAAGGGGAATTACCGTCGAGGCGTCGTGATCCCGGACCAATTACCTAGCCGCGGCTCCTCTCATATCTCATAGGCCGCTTTGCGCGCGGCGTGGCGTGGCGTGGCGTGGGCGCGTCCGAGATTGCCCCCGTGCGCGCCACCGCCACGCCCCGCCACGCCCCGCCACGCCCCGCCACGCCCCGCCACGCCCCGCCACGCCCCGCCACGCCCCGCCACGTCGCGGCCTTGCAAGGATGCGCTTATTGTTTTCCAATTAATTGCTAGCGGGGGCGGCGGCCGCTGTCACAGCCATTCCAAATGATAGGGACCGGCCGGCTTATCATTACGTACCGCTGATACGTAATGCTTACGTGCGCGCCGGGGTGTAGTTAGCAGCGCACGCAAGCAGGGAAGCGAGGAAAAGGGAGAAAAAGGAGGAGCGGCGATGGAAAGGATAGAAAAAAAGAAGAAGGACTTGCATCCACGCCGCGCGACACGAACACGGCCAGAAACACCCGTCTCTGGAAGGAGAGGCTGATTTTTCCCCTTCATTGCGATTTCCTCCCGGCCGCTGCTGCCATACGCGTCATCATAGAATGCGCACGCCGCCTGGCTCTCTTATTCTGCCCCTTTTCTTTGCGGATGCTTGTTTTTCCGTTGCAATTTTGCCTCATTTCAGTTCACGTGACTCGTCCTTTTTCTCGGGTGCAACTGTCGTCGTATGCCCCTCCGCATGCTGCTGCTATTTTGTTTTCAAGATTGCGCACGGCGCGAGCAGTGTTTCTTTTATTTCCCTTTTTTTCCACTACTGTGTTATTCCCTTCCCTTTTTTTGTTTTATTCCTTCGCGGGAGGCGGTGCGGCGCGATCCCCGCAGATAAGACGAGCAAACAGGAGCGGGCGCGCCGCGCAACGTGCAAATAGAATGTGTTCAGAGGGTAATGAATCACACAGAGAATTGACAACGAGACTTAGAGAATACTAGACGCAGTAAGTCGTTTTTTGAAACTCACCTTTATGTAAAAAAATATTCGCGTCCTTTTCTTCCCTTTTTTTTCGCACGCTTCAATTATGGTATTGTTTCGAACAATTAGTTTGTCGGCGCGGTAATTTGCCTTTGCCGTAATGAGCCTAGCGAGGAGGCAGGCGTCGACAACTCGTCACGCACCGGTACATGTGTTCCATCTCCTCTCTCGTTACAGGACCCTTTTTATAGTCCCCGGTCGAGGCGCGCGCGGCGTTGGGCGACGGTGCCGACGCGGGTCAGTCAGCGTGCGCCGCACGCGTGCGGGCTCAACAGGGCTGTCTCTCCTCACACCCAACCGAGGAGCTTCGCCCCCCCCCCTCCCTCCCTCTTGTTTTGTGAGACAAATTGATAGAATGAAAACGACAGAATGATAGCTGAGAGAATAGATATAACTGGTTCAACGGACACAGGTTCTACAGATGACTCGCGCATTACCTAGTTTTCTGTGTAATCTTTTTTGAAAGCTAATCTTTTTGTACTTACACAACCTTTTACTTGCTACCAAGCTTAAATCACACGCAGGACCTCCAGGTACTCAACATAAGTAATCAAGTTTTTAGGAAAAGGTTTGAAACGTTTGAACTCAACAGTTCGTTTTTAAGTTGATCTTGTACTAGCACTAATTTCGAATTAAATAGCACAAATCATTTCTCCTCATTATTATTTACCATATATCATGTCTTTTACCATGGGCCAGACAGGAAGTGAAAGAGAAATAAATGAAAATTAAAAATAAAGTCTTTGAAGAGTAAAGAAAGGGGTAAAGAAGTGACGCTCGCGACTGAAGGACGCAGCCAGTGACGGCGCGGCCGGCCTGCAAGTGGAACACACTGCGATGGCCGGCCGGCCGCTGGACGGTGGCCGTTTGGACATTTTGACTGCCAGCCCTTTGCTGCGCTTTGCTTCGAGCCCTGAGCCAGCTGGAATGTGGACCGCTACTTTATGTCCCATTCTTGACGCCTGATTGGCGGTGAGCCTTGGTGAGCCCCGGTGAGCCCTGGTGAGCCCTGGTGAGCCCCGGTGAGCCCTGGTGAGCCCTGGTGAGCTCCGGTGAGCCCCGGTGAGCCCTGGGCGCCTCGACGGCTCCCGGAATGTGTCGGGACCGAGTCACTCTACCATTTGGATGTTCATTGAGTCTTGCACAGTGCGCTGCGTTACCCCAACTCCTCCCGGGGTTCGTTACAGGTTTGTTACCAAGCGTTTCCCTTTTTGTGTACTGAAAACAACTACCTTCAAGGAGGGAGACATTTGACTCTACGTTACTTTAGCAGAGTTGAAATGTAATACGACCATTTAGAAAATCCTGCACTCCTAGTTTTTGCTGCAAACTCCTCTTTCGGTTTCTGTATCCCAGCCGCGTAACATTAAGTCCTGGGGCGGGACGGGGAGGCTGAAGTGTGACAAACACTTGTTGTCTTGCAGCGCAAAGCGCGCAAAAGAAAAGCTCGGTGCGACTCACCTGCAGGGGAATTCGCGCTCGCCCAGGCACAGCTCGAGGCACTCTTGTCGGGACGCGGCCGGCGTTTGCTTGCGCGTGAACCCCGACAGCTGGTATCCCTGCACTCGGTCGAAGCACCAGGCGCGCTCGCAAGGCTTCACGCCAAGACAGCTCTTCTGCGCGTAGATCGTGAACACGGGGAACTGCGACCTGCTGAGGGCGCCTGCAAACAGAAAAAGGAAGGGTTTAAATTTACCGCCAAAGACAGAGAAAAGTGTCAATGTTAAGAGGATTTTCTGTTTCTTTCAAGCAAGATAAGTCTATCTCATATACATATGTGCAACTTGTAGATGCATTCCTCTAGCCCCTTTTTGCCGCACGTAAGGTTCAGCGCGTGCAGGGTTTGCATCTCAGGCAGCCGGCGCAGACATAAAGGTCTTATCTGTCCTCCTAGATTGAAATGTGGCTCTGCTGTTATCAAGGCCGCTTGCACGGGCCAGCTAGTCTAGACGCCGACGGATCCGACGCCGACGGGGCAGCCGACGGCGCAAACCGCGTTGATACTCTTTAAGATTCGCCCACTAAGTCGAGTGTTTAGCCCTCATTTCTTTGCTCTCTGATTTGCATTTAGATGTGAAGTGACGACACGAGCCCAGCGCGAGCCCTTGCAAGAGACTCTTTTATTATGGTGTGTGTGTGTGTGTGTGTTTGTGTTGACGGCTTGATTTGCGTATCTCGATTTGTTGATTGCGGGACATACACCTTGGGCCCACGCATTTGAATGTCACTTGTGGAAGGGAAAAACAATGTGGAGGTGCAAGGACGCTTCTCGGCCTGGTCCGATGTGGTGATAAAAGACCTGGCCAATTACAGGAAAAATAACGTGAATGTACAATTAAAACCCTGGCGTCTCAATCAAGCTCGAGATTCATCATGAACCGGCCGGGTCCGTTACTTCACGGAAGCAAAAAGCTTGCCACCTGATATGGCACTGTCGAAAAGGCATAAATAACTCCGGGGCCGAAGAGATTTGTGAGGAATAGCCTGTCTGGAACAAAGGGGCAATAAGAAGAGGGAGGAGCATTTCTGCTGCCTTGAGCCTGGGGAAGTCAGCGGCAGGGAAGTTTGAGGAGGAAGAAGAAAAAAATAGTGCCAGCCTCAGCAGCAGGTTTGCGGGCTGCTGCCCCGTATGGATTAGGGAGCGGGATGTGGAGACAGAGGGAGTGAGGAGGAGGATCGGAGGGAGTACTCTTTACGATATCAAATGCACTTTCTGAACTTGAATAAAACGTTGGCTCGGCTGTTACGTCACATTAACAGGAGGAGTATAACGGTTCGCACGTCCTTGTGCTGCGCGGCTGCCAAAAAGTTCTGATTCAGATAGGGCCGGGAGAGAAAGAAGGTGTTTTTGTGTGGGGGGGGGAGAGGAGGAGGGGGGAGAGAGAGAGAGAGAGAGAGAGAGAGAGAGAGAGAGAGAGGGAGGGAGGGAGGGAGGGAGGGGGAGGGAGAGACCGAAAGAAAGGGTGGGGGTCCCGAGACCCGAGTCATTTGCTGGGAATGCGGCAAATGGACGACGGCCCATACCGCACCGCTCAATTTGTATTGTGTGTAGTGCGCTCATCAATTACAGGCATGCCCGCTCGCGCGTGTGTGTACATGTGTGTGTGTGTGTGTGTGTGTGTTTTTCTGTTAGACTTTGCCGAAGCTGGACTGCGGTTCATCATGTGTTGTGTCCTGTCTTGACCATTCATTAGTCAGAGACTCGTCTCGGACTTTCGACTAAACGGTACGCTCTAACACCACTGAACGTTCATTCATCTCTCTCTCTTTTCTTTATAATAATCTAGTTCTCGAGATCACGAGACGTCATCAAACATATAGGCCTTGGCGTGGCGTGAATTTGGTAAAATCTGTTGTGACGATTCTTATATTATTAATAATAATTCGGTCCGCCGCAGGAATGCGAATGCATGTTGTGTATCAGGTCACATTGGAGCAGGTTGACGGTCCGCGGCGCGGCCGCGCACTGACAACCCGGCAGCAACCGGTTCAGCCGGAGCTATTTGCGAGTGTACACTGTCGCGATACGGCTCGTCGCTTATTTCGCCAATTCCCGTGATGGTTATTATACATTTGTTTGTTGAGCCAACACTTTATCTGAACAGCTACCTTGTCGTGGGGAACCAACTATATGCGACGACAACATGCTTTTCTGATAGTCATTTGCTTCTGGTGGATCTACCGGTTTTTTGTTTCCTTTTCGATACGGTCATCGTCGGCAGCTCGACACTCTACGGCAAAGCAGAGGTTCGTTACCAAGCTGCAATCCCTTGCCCTTGCCCTTTGGGTATCCTCGCGGCATCTTCGTCTATATTGTATCACCAGATTAGTGTAATTATTTTCCACCAACTTTTCCTAAGCGCACTTGGACTCTGTTCTCCGGTACCCCTTTGCAAACGCGTGTGCGCCACATGAGAGCGGAAAGGTTTCCTTGCGGCCTGATTCAGTCAAGACATGCTTAATCTATCCGCATCTTTCCCATATTCTCGTCCTCCCCGCTCTCACCTTTCCTCGTTGTTCCTTGGCAGTGTCGGCGGCCTAGCGGGGTCGCGCTGCCGCGGCCGCTGCCCCCTCGCTCTCCCCACCAGCGCGCTGTGGGCCTAACCTCGACCTAGACCCCGACACGGGCGGCGGCCCTGCCCGACGGCCCTGCCTGACGCATAGCGCTACCGTTGCTTTTCTTCTTTTCCCTTTCTCGTATCGCACCCATGTTGTTTTGATGGGCCGGACCCGTTAGCAGAGCTGCGGGCGCTTTTCAGCGCCGCGTTAAAGCATCGCCTCCGGTGGATTCCTGTGTGGACGGACACACAGTGAGTGCTGAGTGACTTCCGCGTGACCTATCGTCAGAGAAGGTTTTAGGTTGTGCGTGCAGGCAATGCGCAGGCTGCCTCGTGCTCGTTGGAGTAAAGATTAAGAAATGTCAAAGGTCACCGGGCAGGTCATATTGCATTGATGCAATCGTTTGATTTACTCAGGTAGTTATAGTTTACACTCTACTGCTGTAAAATGTCGCTCTGTCGCTCTGTCGACGATCGAATTACGAGACTCCAACAAACTGACAATCCATCCATGCACTCTTTTATTTTTCGTTTTGCATCGAAAGAGATCCGTTCTCTTTTGTTTATTTTCACCCGGTATGCGACATTTGAAACCAAGAAGTGTGCGCGGTCGGCCTGGTCGGAGGGAAGTCCTGTCCCGCGTGGCCAGTGGCGCGGCGTGGTGTGGCCGGGGCCCAAATTGATACCTGACTCACGAACGCGTGGCCAGTTAGTGGGTCGCAGGGTGGGTGTCGGGCCTGTCCGTCTCTGCGCGTGGCGTGGCGTGGTGGGGCGGGCGGGGCGGGCGGGGCTCAGCGCAGACCACAAGTGTCGCGCGCACATAGCGGTGAATACACACGAGGTACCATTGCTGTCTCGTTACCAATTTTAACGCCTCGCAAAGCCGTTGACGCACCCGTCGCCTTCGCCGGTTATATGACTGCCTTCGCGCTGTTCCGAGGCACAGCCCCTTTCAACCTTTGCAAACGCAGATGGGCACATATCGCAGCCAAGCTAGACGGCGTGGCTGCAGCTATTGATATTTTTTTCCCCGCTGAAGTAGTGCGCAGTTGCAGTTGTGCCGGAATGCCGGCGACTCTGGAGGAAGTCCTAAATTTTTCCGCGGATGAGTGGACAGGCCGGCGGGCTGATACGCCCCCCGGCCCGCGACCCTCTGCGGTCTGCGGTGGGGCCGCGGCTGGCGGCGACGCCAGGGGGGCCGTCCTGCAAGCACTGCGAAGCACTGCGGAGCACCGCCACAAAATGGCTCACACTTTTTAGACAAAAAAAGCATGTCCCAATTGGTATTTTTAAAATCCTTCTGTTCGCACTCCAAAACGTGAGGTATTTTCCAAAGGGCATATTTGTGTTGATTAAGAGATAACGTTTTGTGCACATCTTGACTATTTGCAATTTTGCAACTTTCAACCCTCACATGAACAAAAACAAAATTTGTCCAATGAGAGGACGCAAATTTAGCACTCAAGATCGCAGGTGATTATATGTGCACGAAACAGCATTCCTCCGGGCTGTCGCATTCATCGCCCAAAATTTAAAAAAAAGGCCTGGAGATTTCATGTTTGTCATTCTTGTAATTCTGGCGCTGTACCCGCGTTTGTTTGTCACCTATGTGGGATGCCGTGATGCTGGTTGTGTCACAGCGCTTTTCCGCTGGCTGGCTGCGTGCTGGGAACGCCAGACGGACACGGCTTGCTGGTCTAATGTGTGTCCGCCTTGTTTCAGGTGAGTTTCGCATGACGTCGCCCGCCGCCGCCGACGCCTCCAGGTAACTCATAAGCCGTTAACCGTCATATCGTGCGACCGCCTCGCCGCCCTGTATTAAACATTGTTATGACGTCACGCCAAGAGCGAGGCGCTGAATGAAAAGGGGGCGGGGAACTAGTTAGAGTGTCCGGACAATACATTCTGTCGTCCTCCGTGAACGTACCTATCTCGCATCTCTTTTCAAGATGAGACGAGAAAATTTGCCTTTTTAAACACGACGATTCCAAGCCGGCGCTGAAAGATTGCTTACTCTAGATTTCTAAACAAGGGAAGCGCTGAGATTAGCAGCTCGCGGGATGAGCTCCGCGCCTAGACTGCGCCGCGTGGGTCACTGGCATGACAGACGTGAGGCGCTGCCTGCAGGTGCTGCATGGCGCGGTGGTCGCGGCTGAGGTTAACGTGTCATGTTGACACAGATAGGAACAACGGGGACCTCGACCACAGCGACGCGGTGGTGTGGCAGGTAGCGCTGCGCCACGGCCGCGCCGCCCGGGCCCGAGCCCCACACGGGAGGAGGCAGGCGGGGCGATGGCGCGGCTCTGATATAGAAAGAAAAGAGATCGCATTTCATTTTCTTCCTCACACGCCGCGTGCTGTGCCGTATCAGCAGTGCCGGGACCCGACAGCCCGCTCAGCCGCTTCTCTGTCTCTCTCTTCCTCTCCTACTTCCTCTGTCCCCCCTCCTCTATATCTCCCTTTCTCCCCCTCCTTCCCTCTTTTGCTCCTGCTCCTTTTTCTTCTATAACCTCCTCTCTCTTTCTCTACATTAAAATATTATAATTTTCGTGGATATCTTTAGAAACAATATCATGTCTGATGAGTAATACTGCTATGATTGATA